GACCGTTAATCCTTTATCCACTGAGTCACGACGGGTAAGGTTTGGCACAACGGTTAATGATCGATTGTAGAGGCATTTCGAAGTTCTGCTTGTGTGATTAGGTTAGGAAGCGAAGTCTCAATGCGGACTGTTATCCACATTGAAGTGATAAGACTAAACAAAGTCGAAAAGCCACCTAGAATGCAAGTTTATTGGCAGGGAACGCGCATTTTTCATACGCTTCAGCTACAGACTTAGGTTTACTTCAGTGCGAATCACGGTCCCCAATATGCGTGGCAATCGAATCACACAATGAATAATTCAAAAACACCTTCCCGTTAAATATGATAAGAGAAGACTAGTAGCGCGAGTTGAATGGTATAGGTAGAAATTAGTCACACTTTGACTCAATCACACAGCCGTCACACGCCCGGAAATGCACTCTACGCGCTTTTCATCCTTTGCGGAATCGTCCGCATTGCGCATTCCATCGGACACTGGTAGGGCTCGAACGCACAACTCGACTGTTGCCAGTCCGTGGTTGTGAGCACTCACTAGGGGGAAGACAACGACTATCATAAATAAGTTACTAGATGTGATATAGCGCCACGCACTATCCACTGACTTACACGTTACTTTCGTGCAGATGACAGGGTAGTCCCCTCACAATGCGACGCGCTTACCAACTTTAAACCGTCAATTATAAGCAGTTTGGTCTGCGTATTGATTACAGAAGAGTAGTATGGGGATTTGAATTGGACAGTTAGAAACTTGTCACAACGCATTTCCGGACGCGTGACAGCTGTCTTAGTGAGTTTAGATAAGAGGACAACATCTGTCGGAGCAGACAACATCCGCCCGAAGGCACTGAAGGCTACGGCCACCAAGCTATCCGAACCACTGTCACAGTTCTTCCAAAGGTGCTTTGATGAACAACAAGTCCCCACTATGTGGAAGTGTGGCATTATCACCCCAATATTTAAAGGCGGTAGCCGTTCCGACCCTGCAAACTATCATCCAGTGACTCTTCTCCCTGTGCTCGCGAAGGTGATGGAAGCAGTCGTCGCTGAGGCTTTAATGGACTACCTAGACAAATGCAAAATTTTGGTACCGGAACAGCATGGCTTCCGTCAACACCGGTCATGCACCACCAACCTACTGGTTGCACGAGGTAGTTGGACGGAAGTGGCCGATGATGGGGTCGGAGTCGACGTCATCTACCTGGACTTTCCCAAAGCTTTCGACCGCCTTGATCACCGCATCCTACTTCAATGACTACAAAATTACGGAATCGGAGATCCTGTACTTGGTTGGATTGGCAACTTCCTTTACCAACGAAAGCTCCAAGTACGTGTTAGGGGATCACTTTCTAACGCAATTGGGGTGGAATGTGGTGTCCCACAAGGCTCAGTGCTGGGACCGCGTTTATTCCTGGTGTTTATCAACGATCTGGCAAGAGTCATCTCCTCAAACTTCCTGCCTTTCGCTGATGACGTCAAGATATGGCGGGCGATTAGTAACAAGACAAAACAGGATCTGCTCCAACATGACCTAGATTGCATTTACGAATGGTCAAAGATGAACAAGCTTCAATTGAACATGGCTAAGTGCAAAGTGATGCATCTGAGTCACCAGCTGGAGAGGCGCTTACAAGATTGGAGACAACACCTTGGAGAAGGTTTCTCAGGAGCGTGACCTGGGTGTATTGGTACAGGAAGATCTCGGGTGTTCCAAACAAGCAGAGCAGGCGACGAGAACCGGAAATCAACACTTCGGCCTTCTTCGCAGAGCCTTCGGTCGGTTTGAACCATCAATATTTCCCAAAATGTTTAATGCCTACGTGCGACCTCACGTGGAATATGCTATTCAGGTGTGGCAGCCGTGGCAGAAACAGGATCTTGATGCTCTTGAGACTCCTCAACGCCGGGCAACCAAGAACGTCAGGGGCCTCTTTCATCTGCCCTACCAGCTTAGACTGAAATCTCTAAGAATGTACAGCAGTCGATATCGGCTTTTGCGGGGGGATCTCATAATGGTTTACCAGATTCTGAAGAACCCAAACTACATTTTCCGTCCGCTGCTGGAATTGAACCAAAACACTAAACGAAGAGGTCACCCTCTGAAACTGACAATTCATTATAGCCGGCTTGAATGCCGTAGAAATTTCTTTTCCCTCCGCGTGTGCCAGCCTTGGAATGCCCTCCCTAATTATGTCGTCTCTGCTCCCAATCTGGCGATATTTAAAAAAACTTGTTGACGATGCATTGTCTCACTTACATTTCATTTTATGACTTGTTAGCCAGGGGCTACAAAACGCAAGCAAACGATGTCTTGCCAAACGCCTAACCAATGGATTTATGGATTTATACGTTTAATACGCGAACATCTCGGCTATTCCACATAAGTCTATGGTGAGTCCACCACAACGCTTTTCACTTTATTATGCAATTGATTTTCGCAATAATTTCCATCCCACGGGACTTGTAAGCGATGCTTTTTTACCCGTAATAAACCATTGTTCCATTGTACCTACGCAATTCAACTCCCCATACTACTCTCCTGTAATCAGTACGCAGACCCGACTGCTTATAATGCCAAAGTTAATTGGCGGCTTAAGTTTGGTAAGCTGGCTGCTTGGTGAGAGGGCTACAGTGTCATCTGCACGGCAGTAACGTGTAAGACAGTGGATAGTGCGTGGCGCTATGTCGCATCTAGTAACTTATTTATGATAGTCGTTGTCGTCCCCCTAGTGAGTGCTCACAACCACGTTGCGCGTTCGAGCCCTACCAGGGTCCGATGGAATGCGCAATGCGGACGATTCCGCAAAGGATGAAAAGCGCGTAGAGTGCATTTCCGGGCGTGTGACAGCTGTGTGATTGAGTCTAAGTGTGGCGAATTTCTATCTATACCAATTAGCTTTGACTTTGACATATTATGCCTCACCGAACGGAGTCGGAGTGGTCCTCTTCTAACGTGAGACTAGAGGAGTAGACAAACCGGATGCGTTTGCCTCATGGGATTTCTCCTATGCTGTCGAGCGAAACTGCGTTCGAATTTACAATGAGGGTTTAGCGGTCTTATTGTACGTTATGTTTTCTCGCCAATACTTATTCGGGACAAGTTCGAAACGCACACAGACCACGGCTAGGGATTCTAAGCGTATGAAATGCAGTACCCTAAACGGAATAGCCCGTGTGATTCGCTGGTCCCTACTACTCCCTGGCCATCCGTATTAGTTGAAATATCCTCCCGGTAAGGAGAACCCGTGTGCTGGCGCTCTCAGCGGACTTGCTTCTCATAAAGTTCCAATCTATGGGCTTGCTACGGGAGAAGTGAAGTAAATGAAAGAAGTGAAATAAATGAGTTCTTAGCTAGAAAATTCAACAGCGATATCAACGGAGATAACGTCGGACAAACTGTGTGACCGTGAACCGCCGAAGTTGCGGGATTATATCAAACTGCTTGACTGGATAGGATGGACGAAGGTGTAAGTGCATGTCACAGTCGAAGAGATGAACTGAAGCTTGAGGATAGGTACTTACTATGGGCTCTCTATTCGTGGTACACAAACAGCATCGGCAAACAATCATACGAGAACTCTATACGGTGTCAAAGAAAATTTAAGGACACTGGCACTAGTGTGCCACTAGATCTGGTTGGCTGGAGTCGATCAGGAGATTGAACAATCCTCCAATTGTGCGCTAGCTACCAAGAGAATTAATAACCCCCACAGTCTGATCCAGTGTCACCATAGCAATGTCCCTCAGGCCTGTGGGATAGAAGATATATGGACTTCTGTGAACCAATCGACGGTTCCGTGGAGCTTGTTATAGTGGACACAAATTCCAAATGGATCAGAACTCGGGCAACTGCGTCATGACAGTGCTGACCAGTGCGCACATCCTAAAAACTATCTTCACTACACAAGGTTTACCATGCACAGTTGTCACAGATAATGGCTCCAAATTTATCACCAACGAATTCGGGGCAATCCTTACGTCAAAATGTGATCGAGCATGTTCAATCGGTAGCAGATCACCTTTCGTCCCATGGTCTGACGGAGACGGCAGTTGCGACAATCATACAGGGTGTGAGTAAACAACAGCTCGGAGGTTTACAAACCTGCATGGATAGATTCCTGCTACAGTACCGCTTTACACTGAACACTAGTACGGAGCATGCACTCTGTGAACTTTCGATGGGGCGATGGATGCGCGCTCGGTTGGATCCGATTAAATTCGACATGCATAGAACGGTTGCTAAACGCCAGTCTTCGATGAATGGAAAATACGACACCAAAACAAAAAATCGCGTGGTTGTGGCAGGCGACAGACTGCACCTTAAACTGTTGCCAACTGAGAAAACTTGAGTCTAAGAGGTTTAAAATCAAAAAGTGGTAGGGCAGTGGAGGCAAAACTGGAGGAAGGGCGAATACTTCGACGTCATTTGGACGTCATTTGCCAACGACAGCGTAGGAGTTCAAAAGAAGAACAAGGAAGCTGCCCATTGTCTGCAACTCTAAGAATATCACCTGAAGCAATACCAGAAGACAACGCTTCAGCACCTATGCCCTCATGGCGGTCAGACCGTGTGAAGCAGAACGCAGTACGCTCTCAAGCTGGATACTCTTAACCTGGCGGTAGGAGACTGTTGTGTTTGGTTGTCATGATTCACTGCCTGTATGGCGACCTACGTGACTCCTGTGTGTGCCTGTACCGGACAGACAATGCATTTCAGGTTCTTGCGTACACATTGCAGCCGTGCCTTCTATGTGACGTGTTCTTACCTGCGACACCTACGTGTATCTACTTTGTATGCTAACTATGCTGAGCTCACAGAAAAAACTGCTTTATTGGTACGTATACTGAGATCGAAATTTTCGTTGTGATTAGTAAGAGGGGTTCAGTAAATATTGGTTTTTCCACGGGTCGTAAGAAGTTGTTCTTCTACTTGGTATCGCTAATTCGATCCATTTAAGCGCGCTATACCCTGTCCAAATGGTAATATGAGGCGTACCGTGAAAAACTGAGAGTCAATTGAATGTATTCTTCGAAAACCAATTATGTGTGAAGTACAATGAATGGTTTATCCAGTGGAGTGTTGTGAATACATTTCATAAGAAGGTTGGACAGCAGCTGGCATCCATTAACCAAAATATTACTATACATTGGCTTCAATATGCACGAACCCCAACAGAGTGAGATGTTCGAAACGTGGACGTTCTTCTCCTCTCACATGGTACATGGCCAATCCACTCGGATTCACTTGAACAAAAAAACTCTCCGCTTTCTTCACTTTTCCGAATACGGATCCATCAAACACATCCGTCAGGGTGAAGTAGATATCAAGCGTTGAATTTAAACCATCCAATGCCATTTCGTTTAATGTTGTTGGCACGCGAATAGGTCCACCACCGCCGACAGTGTATAAGAAGGTGATTGCCCATGTACGGGGTTCTGAGTCCAACTTGCGGCTCCACATCTACAATTAAAGTTGTTCAATAGTTGAAGTTAAGTTGTTCACTTCTAAGAGAGGACTACCCAATTATTTTCAATGTTATTTAGAACTTTCTGAGCCAAATTAGTAGTCTGTCTATTATTAAACAATCCTGCCACAGCGGTTCTATTTTGATTTGACAGGTTCCAACGGCATATCCAAACCGTCCAATTTCTATCATCAGAACGGAACATGCAATAGCCTGCATAAAAAAGTGCCACATCTAATCAAAATTAGAAGTAAAACTCGGAACCCAAGGACTAGCGATTAAAGCCTCTGCCACTAGTCTACTCGGCTCCTGGGGAATTCCTTACTGAAGCGGTTAAGAATGTATTGTCTAACTTCGGCACATTGTCGTGTTCATTGAATGTGAGTGGCGATCTCAAATCGCACACTAATTAAATCAAAGTGAATTGTAACATATGTCATGGGGGCCTGTAAATTGGTCGTTGCCACTTCCCCGAAACTTTCTTTTTTACACTATCTACGGTGTGGATAACACATTTGATAAAAGTTTTTACGAATTCTTTAGCTGAACAAGTTCCAAGTCACTGAGACCGTTAAAGCCCCTATTCATTGTAAACCGTCTGTAAGATACCACACATAACTTTTAGTTTGTTACTATTGTTAAAAAATTGTCGTGTAAGCTTAGTTACGGCAGCTGTTGATATTTGCCTGTGCACTCAGAATGAACAGGCATGAGGTCGCGCGATCGTTTATCCAATGCTAATCCATGACCAACGCCGGCACGCGTGAGCGAGTCGCTTGGTAAGTCCACATGATCAACTGCCTCGATCTATGGCTATGGCGGGTTTCTGCCAGAGGCTGCCAATCAAGGAAGTGCAAATCGGAGTCACCTAACGGTGCGTTGGTTATCCTGTAAATAGTACGTTGCCTTCTTATCTAAGTAGAATCTGATCGCAGTCACGTCTCTGTGTTTGATTCTCGGAGGGCGTTACACGACCAAAAGTAAACAAGCAGTGATGCCATGTGGTCTCGTCAAGGGGATTTAATTTAATACTTTACTTCATCAATTTACGATCGCTAGTGAGTAGTTGGGTAGTTTATTGCCTTGCATGTGAAGATTCGTCTCAGCTAGACTCGGGAAGTTAGCCACCACACATCCAGGAAAGCGCTTGGAGGGGAAGTTAAAATGATATTTATGTTCTATTCATCTCAACGTGTAGTCAGTATCAAATGCAAACTAAATGCTATATTGTACTAAGCTGCAAAGTAGCCGATTCAGTTCTCTACATCGCAATGCAGTATAATGATACATGGACACATAGCAAAAGCCGTATATCTTAGACTACATGACGACACCATTCAGAGTAGGCTTTGAAAACGATTTACAGTTGAGGTAAACAAGATTCCCAAACTTCGGCGAAATTGACATTGTTATTATGACTAACGGGAAGTAAGTAATGGTGTATTTCGCCAGTTATTAAAGTTGAAAGAAACAAATCTAACGGCACGCAAACGAAAGGTTAGGCTACTGCTAGAATACTGCTGAGCTTCGCATTACAATGAACATAAATGTGACACAGAGTTCATAGAACATGCTCAGTGTATCCTCAACCAACAACGCTACTTCCGTAATACTTTAGTATTTTTCTGGGGATAGCTTTGGTACTCAGTTTCGAGTATTTATTACTGTGCAAATCAATTTAGCTTCCTGTCCAAAATTGTGGTTAGAAGCATCTAATGAACATCCCAGCTTACAATTTCGACATGAAATCACACACGAAATACGTGGCATGAAACGAACGGCAATAGGGATAATAAAAATAGCAAGTGTGTGACAACATCCGTATGACGGCCAGAAGGCGAAAAACCAACCACAAAATTAAAAAGATAATGATAAAGTGAAATGTGTTTTGATAGTTACCATAATGTCCCCATTGAGGCATGCTTTAAAGAGCCGACCGCGATGGCGTACGATAGTGCTCGTTCTTGCAACATTAGCACGTTATACTGTTTCTAGGTGTACACAAGCTATGTTCCGTAACGTAGATGGGTCATGGCAACTTTAAGGTGTGTTTTAAAATCACCTGCATTTTGGCAGAAAGCAACGTTACTCTGCAGAGCGTTTTACCGCCAAAACACAGGAAAATATTCTGAAATGAGAAAATATTAAACGTTTCCTCGACATTCTAGCTGACTGTATTGCGTGGCCAACTTGAGCTGGTGACACCACAAATACGTGTCGTCAAGGAGCTGCAGTGTGTGACAGCAGACATGGTTGGGTTACTCAAAAGCTGATATGCCATTATTAGGCCGCCACATCGACGGCGATAATGGCCGCTTTAGAATCTCAACCTAAGTTGATATGGAAGAATAGCAAACCTCCTGACGTGCTTCCTGTCCCTTCGCTGTGGAGTGTCAGGCGCTACGAGGTTGTCCACGTGTAAGTGCTGTCAGGTCTGAATAGTGTACTTCACATGAGGCCGCATGTAAGTGTTAAGCATTTGTGTGCAGACGTAGATCAAATCTCCAGATTGCACTCCTCAGGATACTCAAAGTGCTGATTTGTAGCCCTGAGGGTTTTGAGATTGTTCTGAGCAGCCCAGGTGAGCCTGGAATAATACCCCAACTTCGCGTTCCTGGCTTATTGCATGCAGTACGTGGTTTCCAAGCTCATATAGGATGTTCGTTTGTTGATGCATGTAAACAGCCTTAAGTTTGTAATAATTAAAACGGAGCAGACTGTGGAATGACCATCCATACGCAAGCATCATTAAAAGAAACCGCAGAAAATAAATTTCTGTGGCACTGTAGACGGCTGTAGTGTTTTGCTACTTTCAAGGAGTGTTATTTAAGTTTATTGTTACCGCTGAGTTGGGCTAAAGGGCGGCACGTATGATTTTATTGTGTAAAAGCAAGTATGCGATATTCAATTCACTTCGTAGTCGCAATAGCGCCCTGCTGAGTACACCCAAATGCTGCTGCCTTAATTGATATGCTGGACTGCGAATTCTACTGAAGTATTTGGAACGCCGACGTTGAGATTGGCACAGTGCAGTGACGTCATGCTTTAGCCATGGCTACCGGGCTTGAATTGCGTATTCGGCCTGGGAGCGAAAATACCAATTGAGCATCTGTCTGAAAATATAAGTGTCCATTTGTGCGAACACCCGCTGTAACAGCCCGACTTGTTGAGTGCCAGCTTTCAAGGCTTTTCATATCACAGGGAACAACCTAAATCGTCTTGAAGCATCACGCCAAGGTCGCGTTCGACGGATGATGGTTGCAGTCTTTACGTTTCTAGCCTGTAGGAATAGGTACTCCGGTGGCGTACGGAGAACACCCTGCATTTGCTCACGTTGAACTACAGCAGATTTTGGCTTCATCACTGACCGGTATCTGCCTGAATCCTGCGCAATAGCTCTAAGTCATCAGAAAACAGTAAGAAGTTTGATGCGATTGTTTGTGCAAGATCATACATAAATCCCAAAACAATCGTGGACCTAGATCTGGGACCTGAGGCACTCCATAATCGACTGGTATGGGGGTCAGATAAAGTGCTCCGAACCCTGACCACTAATTGCCGTTGAAACAGATTCAGTAGGCTATCCAGCTTAAATTAGGGTTCCCTATCCAGTAATATAAGAGTTTGCAAATGTTTCTCCCATGATGTAGAAGATCGACTGCCTTTGAGAGCTCAAACCACATAATATCAACTTCCTCTCCAGCGACAGCTGACTCAGTCCAACTACTCCGTGCGATTAACCAGTTGGTTGTGCCCAAGCGCTGTCGACGGATGCCATGTTGCTCGGAAGCAAGAAAGTTACCTTTTCTAGCTAACGCAGCAAGGCATCTGTAACGATGGATTCTATGAGTTTGGACACTATAGGGAGAAGAGATACTGGGCGGTAGTTTGGTGGTTCAGTTCTGCTTTCGCCTTTGTGAATCGGAGTTATTATTCCAGGAACCAATTTGTGCTCTAAGCCGCGTTGGAAGTACTGGGCCGAAGGTTTTGTCAGCTGCCTTGCTGCTGCTCCTATTGGTGTTGGGCAAATGGTTTCAACATTCTGGAATCTGTGATTGCGCAGAGACGTCAGTTTTGCAGGACAGCTTCCGTGGTAAAAGTGATGTGGGTGAGTCAAGGTCGTCGCTTGCCAGTGAAGCTTTGTTGCTGCTACTTACATCGTTCTTGAATCTGGATATTATCGCATATTCACCCGAGTACACTCATTCGATCAAACTTGCTTAGACCTACACAGTGCGCAAACTTCCTGGTCTGTATTCCCAACGAATAGTCGTCTACTGCCGGCTGCCGATTTCTGTAGCATTTCGGCGTAAACAGAAGTGGAGAAACTCAAAGCCTTTACTACTTCCATCAAGGTTCGTAGAATCGTTGGAAAGTACATTACGAGGCCCATCTATAAAAGTCGTTTCCAGCCAGATCAGTAGCTCTACAAAGCGGCCACCAGCACTTACATCCTACCTCCCTGCTTTCACTGTCGACAGCGAACCCCTGGCCTATCTCACAAGTCTAACTTCCGAGCAGAATTGTCAAGCCGGTCAGGTTAAACAGAATGTGCGCACTAACAGGAAAAAACGATCGACGCATCGCGGCACGGCGCAAAGCTGACCTCGGAGCTAAAGTGTGCAAAGGACACTCCGGTACTTTGAGATAACCGGACACCAGAAGGGGGACAAACACCTACTGGGTTTTTTCGATCTTTGCATTTGACACTGTTGGGGTTAAGTGTCCACATGCTTTCCGTACTCTGGCTGGCTTTCATGCTTGTGCGTTATGCTATATAACGAACTGGTTTCCCTATGCAAAAGAACTCTTGAATCTCTGTCCCTGGTCGCTCGTGTTCTCCCTAACGTTACTGGGTGCAAGCAGTCGCGGGGCTCCGACACAACAGACACGGTGACGATTTTAGTCCACTGTCCACTGCCCGTTTGCCTCAACTAATTTTCACAAGCCGTGAACCTTAGGGCTAAATCAGCAAATGCTCCTTAGCACCGTCAAA